AGTTTATGATAGATAGTCTATGGTTCTGTTCCGCATTCTAGACACTCTGCAGAACGCTACGCGTTCGCTCCGCATACATCTGTGTACGTTCCGTATCACTCGTTCCGCATTCTTCGTAGTGTTCCGCACGTTCCGCATTTTAGTAACGACCATGGTAGGGCAAGGAGACAAAATGGCGCGCGAAGCGCGCCGCAATTTTGGCCACACCCCTTTTACGTAACAAAATGGAGGCATTTTCCTGCAAGCTGAGCGAAATCAGAGTGAAATTATCATTGTATATAGCTATAAAAAGAGCTATGGTTATCAGCCACCCCCTTTTGTTATTGTAAGAACAATGAATATAATCTTTTGGGTTATAATTTCAATGAATATAATTATAAGGCCACTTTGATGGTAGGGCCCAGGCCCCCTCAGGCCCTACCTCAGCTACGCCCCTGCTCTGCTCGCTGACAACTCTTGCGCCATGATTAGAGAAAACAGGGGGAAGTACTAGTTCCGAGAAGTTTATAGCGGATTTCACTTGCTATGGTTCGTGAGGATCACGTGCCATGCACGGACTGTGGCATAGATTTTATAACTACGTATGGTCTATGGATTACGGAACCTCCGTTAACTTGATCCGGATATTTCGATTTGTATATAAAATCATGAGCTGGCCAATTACAAAATAAAAATCAAAGGAATAAAAATTTTAGTGATAATAGAAAAATAGTTACGAGTTAAAAATACATGCAATATTTATATCTAATACATGACATTGTAAACTTGCTAAAACTCCACTACACCAATAATAATAATTATTGTCTTTGAGCTGGTGTGAAGGCCTCATCTGGCACTCTCTCTGCTCCAACCTCCTGTAGATAGACCTCCCAAGTAAACCGACCATGCCGACCTATAAACCCATATAACAGAGCTCATTGTTGTAGCTATTATATTAAGTGAAAATATTACAAAACTTTTTGTCATACTATGGTCCATGTAACAACTATTATTATTTTGTTAATATCTCACCATGAGGTGGTTGAAGGTGAATTCCTTTACTAGCACACCAGCCTATTGGATGGATATCAACTGTATCCGGATCACACCAGTAGTCATACCGGTTTGACCAGCCATCAAAATGAATGAGTAATTTATTATCATTAATATCAGTTATTGTAGCCACACAGATGAGGGCAGGATTGGCTCTGTCTTTAGCTTCCAGTCTCATACCAACTCGGAATAATCTCAACTGGTTCCTGTTACCTGATGGAGCAACACCCAGCTGCAACTATATTGAACAGAAATAAAAATTAAATCAGAACACTGAAGTAATGATTTCACGGTATTTTTCAGATTATTACGCCAATTTCCAAGGCTAATAGCCTATGGTTAAAAAAAATTAGTCTAAAAAATTACCCCCAATTTTTATTATATTTTTTGATATATATTGATCAATTCCGATTCCGACTTCAATTTTTCATGTTATGGCCATTTTAAACAAGCGTATTAGTGTAAAAATATTCCTATAATTGTTTTCACCACCTTGCAATTACAACTGGGTTCTTATTAAGACTTATGAATGTTCTCTCTACCTTCTAATGCTTCTAAAAAAGTCTTTAGACAGCATCTCTATGTTATTTCGCTGTTAGAAAGCTCATAACTTTGTCCCATGTGCAAGCCGCCATCTTGTTTGCTGTGACCACACCCACTTACGTAGCGTGGGCGGGTAGTTGCTAAGGCTTGTTATTTCTTCAATACAACGTGTATAGAAGAAATGTAAGTGTTGACATACAAATATATATATACCGCACGTGGGTGAAATCAATTATAGGAACGACCTGGGGGCGAAGCCCCCAGGTCGTAAAAATCACCAAAATTCTGAAAAATACCCAAGGCTATAGCCCATGGTTTTTTCAAAAAAATGGCTCCAAAATCACCCCCAATTTTTATTACATTTTCTGATACATATTGATGTCCTTATGCCATGTAGAAAGTTTGAGCCGATTCCGACTTCAATTTTTCAAGTTATGGCCATTTTAAAAAATCACCAAAATTCTAAAAAATACCCAAGGCTATATATAGCCCATGGTTTTTTCCAAAAAATGGCTCAGAAATCATCCCCAATTTTTATTAGATTATCTGATGCATACTGATGTACTTATCCTGTGTAGAAAGTTTGAGCCAATTCCGACTTCAATTTTTCAAGTTTTGACTTAAAATTATCATGCTCTAGTTACGAGATACAATCCCAACTAACTTTAGCTTTACCTCAGTGAATATATGAGCTGGGGCAGGATTAATATCTGGATCATGTAAATAAGTATTCCACAAGAAATTCCCAACGTGACCTTTAAAAAAGACAACAAATAAATCACACTCGTATACCACCACAGTTAGTCACCTTTAGGAGGAGTAACCTTCTTGTTATGTTTGTTACACCACATGGCTGGATGGATATCAGTTGAATCTGGCTTACACCAGTAGTCGTAGCCGTCACTCCATCCATCAAAATGAATCAACAAGTCTCCATTTGGCTTTATTGATTTCACAGTGGCGACACAGATGAGCTCTGGGTTCATACGGTCCTTAGCCTCTAGTCTCATTCCAACACGAAACAGTAAACTACCAGTGCCTGCTTTTTGGACCTGTAAGGGAGGTCACATGACAGTCATGTGACTGCATGTGATCTTGTATTTACAAACCTCATTAAAGATTGGATCATCAGCTGGTTCTGCTTGTGTATCAGTAATGTATTTATTCCAATTAGTCCACGGC